TCCTTCACTCTGTTAACAGGGTGTATTACATTTATTGATTTACACGTTGAACCATCCCTGCATCTCTGAGATGAATCCCACTTGGTTATGCTATAGTCTTCTTGATGATTTTGCTGCATTCTGTTTGCCACTATGTTATAAAGACTTTTGCATCTATGTTTATTTGGGAAATTGGCCTATAATTCTCTTTCTTGGTTGGGTCCTTCTCTGGTTTTTGTATCAGGGTAATGCTTGCTTCTAGGATGAATTTGGGAGTATCGCTTCCCTTTCAATTTTGTTAAGGAGTTTGCCTCTCATAGTTACTCAATGACTTCTTTACCTTTAGCATCATGTATCTGTTTCTCAGGAGAGAGGACAAAGGACAAAAGCATGTGAGTCTGCCCCTTCCCTGGTAGCCCTGCCCACCTCTTCTTACTTATTTCTCATTGGCCAATACCCTGTCATATGACCATGAGAGCTGGGAAATGTAGTTTTCAGAAAGTAAGCACAGATCCTGATAGGAAGGAGAGAAAGAATGTTGAGTAGATGACCTAGGATCTCTTTCCAGATGGTATCTTACATTTTGCTTCATTCTGTTGGGCCACATTGGTTTTGGGCATGTAGGAGGCACGTGGGTACCTGTATATTGATCACAAAGGATCTTTTTATCTTGTAGGCAAGATGTTAAACATGAAAAAGATGTGAATAATGTCACGCAGTACATGATTAAATGCTACGTCTGGTGCCACAAAATCCAGAGGAGAGATATCAATTTGAGTTATGTAGAAGCTTCAAGAAAGGGGTTGAAATTTGAGCTACATTTTGAAGGTTGGGCAGGATCAACAACAGCTGTCATGAAATCTTGTTTATATCCCCCTGCACATGCTCAGATGGCAGAAGGGGAAAAATACTTATGTGCAGCTTCTTTCTCTTACTGCAGTCTGGGTGAGTCTGCATGTGTGCCCTACACTGACACAAGTCTTTTACATCTGGGTTTTGGACCTGGCTACCTTCCATGGCAGAACTGGCCAGAAGTGGGATCCCAAAACTCGAGTCTTTTGTTGTCCAAATACACACCAACCATCCCCTGCCCAGCCAATCCCCAACAACCTGTCACCTTCCTCTCCAGGCCAACTCCCAGGGCTCGGAACTCGCCCCACCCAGGCTTCTTCCCACATGACTGACCTCGTCCATTTGTCATTTCCAGAAAGCATTGCCAATCTTTTTGGGGCTGTTGGATACCATCTGATCTGTCCCTTTCCTCCAGGCACTTTTGACTTTTTCTAATTCTTGACCTTTTCCCACCATTCAGCAAGAGGAGGGACTCAGTATTCATTGTCCAGAAGATGTGGAAGGGATGAAGAAAGGTCACCTGTTGGCTTCTGAATTTTTTTGTGGGCGTCCTGGTAATCAAATTTAGGCCCTTATGCTTGACAGGCAAGTGTCTGTGCCACTGAGGTATAACTCCGCCTTAGTTTCTGAAGTTTAAGAAACACTTTTGGAATCCATGATAGAGAAAAAATTGGAGGAGGAATGTTGTTGAATATTAAAAACTGACACTCCTGCAGAACACAAAGATCATGCCCAAAACAATAGATATTGAATAAACCCAGAGGAAATAGGAGTGATTTTCCTTCTGCAGAAAAAAATATTTAACTTGGGGTGGTGGAGATGGGTAGCATTCATCTCCCACATGAGTCTCTGAGAAATCCTGTGCCCAGCTGTGCTTGAGGGATCCAGGGCAGAAATCTTGGCCTGACTTTCTGGGATTGGGTGGAGTCAAAGGTCTCAGCACTGAGCCAGCAGCTGAGTATTTTCCTGAGGGATTTGGAGTAGCTTGGGGAGGGGGCACAACTCTTTGGACGCCCTCAGAGTTCCCACAGTAGGCTGAGGGGCCTCTACAAGCCTGCAGTCCAGGCAGGAAGGGTAGTGGCTGGAAAGTCAGACATGCCAGGATGAACTCCCAAAGGCCAGGGCTAAGGGACAGCTTCCCCATGGCACCCTGAACACTACTGGGAGACTGGTTCCACCCTGGGGAAAACTCAGCAGGGGACACCACTCACCAGACAAATATAATCTCTAGAGACTGAGTTCTCCCTGAACTAAAGCTAAACTTTCTGCCTTGAGCAGGGACTGAGAGCTGGAGATAGAAATCATCTGGGAGAAAAATAAGAAGAGGAAACACTGTCGGCACACCTGACTCAATGGCCTGTGAAATTAGGATCTACTGCAAATTTCTGAGGTACTGCTTATCTAACAAAAAGAAATGTAAAATAGGCTTTTATCTTAGAATAGACTGAAAAGTGAAGGGAATTCTTACATACCTCATACCCAGTTTCCCCTATTATTACATTTTTATTAGGAAAGTATATTTTTCATAATCAAGGAAATAATATTGGTTCATCATTAACTAAAGTTTATACATTATTCAGATTTTCTCGACTTTTTGCCTCTCTGGCATTTAGTCCTCTTCTTTCCTTAGAGTGCTTGTGGCTGGGGTAGTTTCCCACACTTGTTTATTTCTGATGAACCTGTTAGTTTAGGGAAGTGCTGATCAGGTGGAGGTTTGTAGGATGTCTCTCGGCCAGAACTCATCTGTTGCTTTTCTCACTGTTAAGACTACAGTTTTGGGTTTGGGGGATAAAGCACATAGAGGTAAAAAGCAATTCTCACCCAAAAGGACTTCCTGCTTTGATATTCACTTTGACCCCCTGGCTATGTTACTTTTTTCCCCTTTCCAGTTTGTACTCTGGAAGGAGGTTACTGTGTGTGGCCTCGGAGATTTCTCTCCTCTCTGCTTATTCACTTAATGACTTACTAATATCAATATGGGCTCATGGATCTTCATTTTATACTTCTGGTTATAATCAAATAGTGCTGTATTTTCTTGCTCATATTGTTTTAGCTTTGGCCACTGGAAGCTTTTTCAGTTGATTCTTGTGTTCCTTGAACACATCCTATCTTTACTGTTGTTAAATAAATTTTTTTTTTGGCTTGTTTTTGGGGTGGGGGCTTTTCCTTACCTTTAGGCACAACAGGATGCTCCCAGCTCAGGTTAAACATTTCCTGTACCAGAATTGGCCATTTCCCTAAGGAGCACTGGCTTTTTTTTTTTTTAAGACCGTATTTTTTTATTACTTTATTTATTAATATTAAGAAGAAAAGGTAAAACAAATTTTCACAACAAAATAATGAAAAATTAACAATTGTTAATAAATTACACAACATTATCTTTAGTCACTCAAGTACAAAATATGGGCATAAAAATTACTTCAATCAATATTAGTACTTTTCCTATTCAGTGAACTAAGTGACACTAGTGGTATAACTAACTTGCACTTTTTTTCTTTTCCCTTCTATCCTTTCTCTTTTCTCGTATCTTAGTTTCTTCTTTTTATTGAACAGTTTCCTCCCATTTCACAGTGACTATTGTATATTTTGAACCTTATGGTTTCACATATGTCACTGTGGTGTGATGTTTTTCAGTCCTTTTGGGAAGATACACAGTAGGAGAATACCTGGGTTGAATGGGACCTCTAATCCTAATTTTTTGAGGAATCTCCACACTGATTTCCACAGTGTTTATACTAATCTACTCTCTAACCAACAGTTGTAAAGGGTTTCTTTTTCCCTACAGAACCAGGAGCATTTTTTATTGGTTGGTATATTTTTTTAAAAAATTAAATGATTTTTTAATGAATAAGGGAGAGGATGAGATAAAAGGGGGCATAACAACATAACAATACAGGTTAAAGCATAACACTTTCAGCAACCTAGTGCTTCACCACCAAATACCCCGACTTAATAGTAGTTACCATAGAGTCTTTTTCTTTGAAATATTTGAATATAACTTCATATGCTATAGCATCAAATATATCAAGACTGTGTAACACCATTCAAGTGGATGAAAGCACTGTAGAGTATTTAGAACCAGCTAACAGAAAAAAAATGATCAATGGTTTCAATATTATCTCTTTGCCTATAGCAATTTTGTTTATACTACCACATACGATAAAGTCAGCATTTAAGACCGTATTAAAAACAAGAACTGGTGATAGGTGTGTTGTTGCTACAGATATATTATATCCAGGGCTCTTTCAGGTGACAGCATGAGGCAGTTTGTGTATGTGTGTATACAGGTATTTGTAGATTAAAAAAAATCCATATATATACAGATGTCAAGCCAAACACGAGTTCCTACGAAGTTTTCAACTCTGTTTCAGGACTATTTGTTCACTGCAGCCTCCTCTGCATGCCCGTGACCTCCTATTCCAACACAGAAAGCCCTGGTGGCGACTGTGCACAGTGTAGTTGTCCATGTCCAGGACACATGTGCAGTACATACAGGTTTCCTCATCCAGTTGTTTCCGTTTGTTTTCTCCAGGATTTGCTGCTTCCACCTCTGACATTCAACCCTCCCTCCCCTTCCTTTGCAGCCGCGACCTGGGTTTCCTAAGGCACACGCTGGCTCACCAGGTGTCTTTGTGAAAATCCATTTGCTGTGATTTCCCCAGGGGCTGCATCCTCCTGGGACGGAGAAAGGTCAGGCTGCAGGGGGGATGGGCAGAGGGGGATTCCCTGGGTCTCCCGTTACACGTGATGACCCTGCGGCTCCGGGCCTGGAGCAGATAACCGGTCTCCGCTGCCTATCTGCACAGTCACGGACTGTGCCGGAGCCTATCTCGGTGCTAGCTCAGCGCCCAAGTCCCGGGCCCGGCGGGTGACAGAAATTAAAATGCAACAGTCCCGCGCTCCTTGCAACGCGCTCGAGGTGTAGGCGCGCGAGCCCTGGCAGGGGGCGCCACGCCAGGCCGCGCAGCGTCAGCCCCGATTGGTTGGTTGGCGCTTTTCTGCTCCTCCCAGGCTCGCGGCGGCTCCGCTCCCCGAGCCCCTGGCAGGCCGAAGACTCCCGCGGCCACCTCTCCGGCCCTCTGAGGCGCTCGGGGCCGCGCAGCCCCGCCCCTCCAGGCCCCGCCTCTCCCGCGAGGCCCCGCCCACCCGCCGAGCCACGCTCGGGTCCCTGACGAAGCTCGCCGGAAATTCCCGAAGCCCCTCTTTTTCCTTCCTCTCCTTTCCCTGCTCTCCCTTTTCCTTTCACCCGGGTTCCCTAGGCCGTGATTTTCCCCCTCCCCCTCCTTCCTTCCCCATTTGAAATCAAGATGGAGGCTCGCGGCTGCCGCCGGCGCCCGTGATCCCGGAGCTCCGCCGGCCCCCGCCCTCGCCCGCGCCTCGCCGCCGCCGCCGCGCGTCCGGCGCGCCGCTGCCCGCGCTCCGAGGCCGTGGGCCCCGCGCCTCCGCCCCGCGGCCAGCTCGCGTTCCCGGGCGGCGTCCTGGTCTATGTGGGCGCGCTCCTCAGGCCGAGCCGCCGCCGCCCGCCGCCGCCTCCGCCGCCCCGGGGCTCTGCGTCCCCGCGCCGGGCGCGGGCAGCTGGGCGCTCGGCGTCGCCAGGCCCGGCGCGGAGCAGGCGGCGCGCGGCGCTAGGGGCGCGGGGCCGAGGCGGGCGCGGCAGCGGGCGCCGCCTCAGCCATGAGCGGGAGCAGCGGCAGCGGCGCCGCCGCCCCCGCTGCGTCCTCCGGCCCCGCCGCGGTAGCCAGCGCGGCGGGCTCAGGCTGCGGGGGCGGCGCCGGCGAGGGGGCTGAGGAAGCGGCCAAGGACCTGGCCGACATCGCGGCCTTCTTCCGATCCGGTGAGTGCCCCGCGCACCCACGCGCCCCAAGCCCGACGCCGGGCGCCAGAGCCGGATCCGGACAGCACCCGGGCCTCTCTCCCGGCCGCCTCGGCCCTGCGGGCCCCGGCGCCGGCCCTTTGTCTCTTTCATCCGAGGGCCGAGGAGGTTGCGGCGGGGACGGCATGGGCGGAGGTCCCGGTTCTGAGGCCAGCCGGACGTGCGGTCCGGGAAAGCGGGCAGATTCGGCGCGGGTCTCGGGCCGTTTGTACCTGGCCCCTCTCGGTCCCAGCAATAGCCAGGTGTCCTTATTCGGTCGCCTCGCCTGTCATGCTCCCCGCCTTGGTCTGCACTTCTGGGAAACGGGGTGGCTGTGACACCCGCCCAACCGGGAAGGACGCGGGGTAAGCCTTTGTCCCTGGGGGCGGCCCGGGAGAGCTGCCTGGGAACGGAGTGGCCTCGGGCCACTGAGTGGGTGGCGTGGAGGTGGAGGTAGTGCCAGGTGGTCCGCTGTTAGCTGAGGCGTGCGAGGGTGGCCGGCGGGGGGCGTGCGGGGCGCGGGGGGCGTGACGGGGCGTCCCCTGGACCCTGGCGGCGGCACCTCCTCCCGCCGGCCCAGATCCGGCGCGAACGTCCCCGCGTCCCCGCGCGCAGCCAATTCTGTTCACGCGACCGGGCGTCGGCGGAGCAGCGGGAGGAGGCGGCGGAGGAGGCCTGGGGGCCGCAACCGGGAGCGGAGCCCTGAGCTGGAGCGGGCGGTCCGCAGAGGATGCAGACTCCGCGCGGTAGGGCCGAGCGGGCCCCGTGCGTGTGCAGGGTCCCGGGTGCGGTCTCTGGAGGGACGGCTAGAGGGACGGGGAGCGCAGGAGGCCCCGGGATACGCGCGCGGGTCTGCCGGCGCACGTTTCTGCGTCGCCGCTTTCAAAATCAGCTGCCAGGATTCAGTGAGATAGCTTCGACAGTCCGAGTTATTAGGAGCGATTGTAGCTGGAGGCCTTGGTCAGAAGCAGAAGTTAGCAGTGCGGATAGATACCTGGTTTAGGGTGATCTCTATTTTTTTTTAATCTTTGCCAGGCGGGTTATTTTCGATTCATTTGAACGGATTAAATGTGGCTGGCAGTGACAGCCACCAACTCCACAGTGTCAGCTTGGGGTTAATATGTCCTCAAGTGCTCCCTTACCCATGAGGTCCCCGAAGAAATCGAGACTTTAGGAAAACATCAGCCCTTGGTGGGAGGAGGGGAGCGCTCAACTGGCTTAGCAGAGCAGCCCTGTTTTACCTCTTAATAGCAGAAATGGGACGTGTTCCCTTCATGCCCTGAAGCTAAAGTCTAGCCTGCCTTCTTTTTCTCTTTACCACCTGTCATGGAATAATAGATTCTGTGCAGAATTCAGTTCCTTTCTTTTAGAAAGGCTCTTGTACCCTGTAGATGGGATTTTTGGTGCGAGACCAGAGTTTCTTATATCTTTATTATACAGAGTTGAAGAATCACTTCTTGCGCGCCTAAGAATCCCAGAAGACCTCAGTTTGGACTGGACACCCATCGAGAGCTGTCTCCACTCTAGTCTTGCTTTGGGCTTTGCCAAAACCTGTTTATGAAGCCCCAGCTGCCTGGAGGACCCAGGTGTAATCTGGAACATCTTTTTCCCTGCTTTGGGCAGCTCTGAATCTCTGCCCTATCGCTTGACTGTAACGTCCCGGCCTGTGAAGTCTGGCTAAGCGTAAGGACAGGTTGGTAGGTTAGGTTGCCGGCCTTGAGGTTTGAACAGAGAGGACAGACCAAGCAAGAGATTCTGCATGGGGACCTCACTGAAAGAGCAGCTCAGGCAGGGCCTCCTGGCAAGGTTTGATTGAATGTGGCTGCTGCCAACTCCATTGATACCATTTCTTAGCTGGGGATAGATGAGGGTGTGAACATCCCTGTTCGGGGTGTTTTTGAGCCTGGTCCTTTAGACTGCCACCATGACCTAGGCAAAGGCTTTCTATTGATTGCCTTTCTTTCTTCAGCCTTGAGACTGTGTTCACTTGGCTGTCTTGTTTTTATTCCTTGTCCTTGTACTTACATTAAGCTTTATCTTTGTAGCCACAGATTGGAAACTGGCAGCCATAGTTGAGTGAAAGAAGGAAGAACTTAAGCTTAAAAGGACTTTTAAACAATTAGAGCCATTCAGAAATAGAGCTGCTGTGCTTTCTCCATTAGTGGAAGTGTTTAAGCAGAGGTCCTCTACTAGGATGTGGAGTTGTGTGCTGGGGACAGGATGACTGCCACAGAGCAGGATGCAGCCCTGAGGTGGTTATGAGGATTCTCTCCCTTTTTCTGTGAACCTTCTGGTTCTCTCTGACCATCTAGTGCTTGTATACTAATATTATATTACCGTAATTTATTGAGATGAGGGCTCAATGGGAAGCCCTGGCTGCCTTCAAACACATAATCCTAGCTAGGATTACAGGCTTGTACCACCTTGCCTGGCTTATTTGTTTTTTTCTTTGGGTTTCAGAGCAGTTGTTGCCCTTTCCCTGTGTTTTACTTGCTTAAGATCTGTCTTCTTATGCTATTTTAATTCTCTACTAGGATCTTGGTGCAGAAACATTGTTCATTTTGACAAAGCACTGGGAGTTGAACCTAGGACTTTCATACTGGGCTGCATCTGAGCCCCTTTTATTTATTGTGAGGTAGGGTCTTCCTGAGTTATTAACCTGCTGATGCTGGGCTCCAGCTTGCAATCCTGATGCCTCATTCTTGAGGCAGTGTGCTGGGGTTACAGGAGTGCACTGATGTTCCAGCTCATTTTGACATGCTGCATCGCCTATTTATGACCTGACATATAGTGGGCGGGTCGGTAATGTTGAAGTGGTTAGAGTTGAAAAATACAATTGTGTGTTAGGGGCAGCTGAGAGGTTTTCTGCAAGTATTAGGGAATTTTGAATTCTAGTATTTTTTTTTTTTCCACAGAGCTCAGCCTTGAAAAAGATAGACCAGGTTTCAAAGAAAAAGGCATCACAGAAGTGAATCAGTCAAGTTTCTTGTGTTTTGCAGATGTTAGGTTTTGTGAGTGGAATTTGGTAGAGGTGGGGTCAAGGGCCGGAAGCTTGCACTGGACTCTGGTGCTCTTTCCCGGATGCCTCTCATGGCCAGGACGTTGCTTACATTAGTTTTCAACCCTACTGGGACCAATCATTTTTATTGCCAATCTATTTTGGGGCTCTGTTCTTGTGGCAATAAATCATTCTTTCAGAGCTATTTAACCTTGCAAGAGTGAGAGTGTGTGTGTCCGCGCGTGCATATGCCCCGAACTTACATAAATGTATTATTTTTAACTTGCCTGGCATGCTTTAGGTCAGCCATATGTGAATGTGAGGAGAATAAAGATTTGTGGTTGTTCTTAAGCGGTCGTGTTTGGGGGTTCTTTCTTACTAACTCTTACTCTGGGCAGCTTACTGCAGCCCCTGTCTTCCCACAGAATACTTGTTGGGAATCCGCCTGTCACTCTGTGAGGGGGTGGCACACAGACCTTTGCATTCTTTGATGTGATAATTTCCTTATGGAATATTGAGGGTAGCTTTTCATATTTATGCTGCTAACACCACTTAAATGGATGGCCTCTAAGCTGGCTATGTGACTTCTGTTGATATTCAGAAAGCTGGCAGCTTTGGTCCTTGTAAACGTAAAAGTAATTTTTGTAGGCTGTTGGTATCCTCAATATTTTGAAAAAGGAAACAAAAATGTTTGACAGTGAACACTGGTTTCTCCTTTTTGGATGGCACAATCAGACTCCGTTATTTAGAAGACAGCAAGGAGTTATGTCTAAAAATACTCCTGTAAGAGACTTTCTAAAAATCAAAGAGCAGTAAAATAATCATTAAAGAAGCTTTTCATTGAGACTGTGAAAACAGGTTTATTGATGTGGAATATTGTATTTTTTCCCTTTGCAACTTAACTGTCCAAGTTTCAATGATGATTTAACCGAAGCCATTTTAACCATTTAAATCATTAACCCAGATTTAAATGAAACCAGTGGTGATGTTCAAAGTGAAGCTTGTGGTTTAAATATGTTTCTTAAATATATGTTAGAATATATAATTAGAATGTTTCTTTTAGACTTTTTAAAATGTTATGTTAAATTTGGGATTTGTCCCTAGCTGAAAGTGAAAGATGTTTGAAGTTGTCATAATTTAAATCAGCTGCATCTGATGTTTGTTTTTGTTTATTGACTCTTCTGCCGAGAAAATAAAGTTTTTCTCCTATGCTTGGCAGGATTCCAAAGATATGAGAAAAGTCAAATTTTTAATCGCTAGCCATACTATACTGCGTAATGAAGTCACGTTGCTAGGAATGAGCTGTTTTATTATAAAAAACAGTTCCAACAATCTCCTTCCTCCAGCTCCAATAATGAATTGGATTTTATTTCCTTAAGTGCATTGTCTTGACATATTTTTGATAGCACCACAGGACAGTGAAGAAATAGGTTTGAGTGAAAGTCCCTCCAAATTCTGGTGCGAGGCGTGGTCTGTTCTGATGCTTTTCTCTCATCCCTGATCTCCGCAATATCAGCACAGTAACCTTGGGTTCCTTCAGGTGATGGAGTGGTTGTTCTGATGGACAGAGTGCTATTTGTTACATCTTTGCCCTCCTGTTTTAGCTGTGCAGCTGCAGCAGGAACGAAGCTGCGTGGGTTTAGGTGGTGCAGCCAAAATTCTCATTTGTTTTTCCAGATTTTTTTAGGTGCTGATTGCCTGAGCAGTAGGAAAGGAAGGAGTGTGACTCGGGCGACTTTTCCGTGTTCTTCCACTTTAGATTTGTGCACCTCTAAGTGAGGTGAAAGCAGCACAGGGAGAGTGAAAAGGTGCTGGGAGGACGCAGCCGTGCCCCTTGGGGGTCCAGGGCTTTCCCGGCCCTCAGGCCTCAGTCTCGAGTGCCTGCAGAACAGGCCTTGCGTTGCTCCTCACTCTTCACTGTGCCTGGACCCTGCAAACTCAGACTTCACGCCAGCTCCCTGCCAGGTTATAAAAATGAAACAGA